GCATCCTAGTTTTCCATCCCAGGACGCTATTCGACTTTCAAGTGTGGGTGATGCAGCCCAACGAATGCGAGAGGCACCCGCAGTTCACTCTGGATATTAAGCCAACTCATGTGGAGCGCGCACGTTTGGTATGTTGGTTAGTTTAATAGTAACTGACAAGACTTGTATATTTATACTTAATTGTAATGTTGAATCTGCAAATTGTATAACATTCACTTATGTATCGTTTTTTTTTTTATTTTAGGCAATCCCCATGCAGTTTTGGAGGGGTTTCATTGAAGGGCGGTCGCGGACTACAATTCCGCAGTTTTGCAGTTTGGTGACAACCATTATGATGTCGATATAATTCACGGGCATGGGAAAAAACTCATTCAGAATGGGCGTGCTCGGCAGTTCATCGATAACAACGACATTGGTGTAGGTGATGTTTGCACCTTCAGTCTCCTCTCACATGAGGGAATCATAAAATTCAAAGTTAAAATTTAGTCGATTTGCGAAATCTCAAGTGGATTGTGGTATTTTGGGTTCATGTTGCAAACTTATCGTGTATGATGTCATGAATTTGTGTGAAGGATGTTGAACACTATGTTTTGTTAGATTTCTTTACCTTGTCGGATATTGATGGACACTACGTTTTCGTAATGCCCTTTTTGTATTTTGGGATAATGTTCATTTTGGGCGGATGATGCAAACTTTTCATGGATTTGTAGTCTGTAGTAGATGTTCTTATGAAATTGTGCGAAATAGCATGCGAACTATATTGGAAAGTTTTCGTGGATTAATGTTTTTTCTTGTAGGCACACAAACAATATTCCAAACTTCGTAAAACATGGTACACACAAACCACATACCACACTTCGTAAAACAAACACTACAAACGCAAATAACATAACACACTTCGTAAAACAAACACTACAGACGCAAATGCAAAGCATAATAGAAGTGAACCTCCAACAATCATGAACCGCGGACGACATTAACTAGCAAACTAATACGAACCTTCTTCTAGGGCCAATCGAACATTAAAATAGGACACCCAAGCACTAACACACAAACATTAAAATAGGACATCTCGCACTAACACACAAGTAGGAACACAAAAGGAAAGGATTCATGATATGAAGGACCTAGTACGTCGGCCAACCTGGCATATAATCCATTGGAGTGGCAGAACACGCAGTGGATGCGGAATTTGCTTCCACTTCATCCGCTTGAGGGTCATATGATTGGTACTTTGGTAACTGATTGACAGATCCATCAGTTGACCCGGTCTGACTGTGTATTGAATGTTTTTTTTATGGCCTTTGAACTACTACCCGCATAAAAGGCTGGACGAGGTGGTTGGATTTTGCGTGGGATGTCATTTCGAACAGGGTACGGTACCATCTTACTCTTTGGATGAGGATATGCACTGTAGTTCTCGACATCTATAATGTCAGCACATTTGTCGCGACCTTTCTTTGCATTCGTAGGCTCTTCGGTGTCGCTGTCAGACAAAACATGATACTCAAATGGAGGTATGTATGGTGGCTCCACGCGAAACAACTCCACTATCTTCTCATGTTGCGGATTGCCTTCCTCCATGTAAGCTATCGAAAATTCATCCCACTACATGCAAATGAAAATTTATTTGACTTTGCAACTGAAACAAAATTGTAATAAAGCGAGGAAAACATCATTATGAAGACTCACCGTTACCATTTGATGCCACTTCTTGTCGGATGCATGGTAAACATTGTTCGCCTCATCATATTTAACCCCATCTTTTTGCTTAAGTTGAGAGAATATATGGTATCTTTTGCCTAAATTATCAACACGTTGGTTTATATAGTCCGTCGTGAAACTGGTTTCAAAAAACCCATTTATCTCCCTCGTAGCATCGACGATACTGGTATTGTTAGCTGCAAATGGAACAAACAAACCAACGCGCTTCTCATCAAGCAAAAACTCGATTAAAAACTCGTCCAGCTTTGGGGTCCAATGTAGGTCGTACAAATAGTCGGCCTGCACGACACCAAAACTGGGAGCCATCGCAAGTATAAAGCTTTCAAAGTAATTATATATCGAAATTGTTTGTGTTTATGGTTCTACGAGTGTGGAATGCCTTCGAAAATAGTGAGGTGCTTAAATAGAAATGATATTGCCTCGACAACAATAATGCAAAAGTTGATACAAGCCACACGATAGAGTCGTCATATCCATATGTCCGAATCAATTCAGCTTTGCAGAAAAGCTGCTAGCTACCTATAGACGTTCATTGACATGTCATATCATGTAGCTTTGTGTGGTCATTCGGTGTACATAGCATGCAGAGCAACAATTGTTAGCAGGTTGACTACCCCCAATTTATCGGGATGAACGAAGATTGTCACAATATGACAACGGAGTACATTGAGCTCAATACAAGTTGGAGGAGCACAAATTAGATTAAACAAGGTCTCCAATTTAATTAGAAAAACATAACATGCAATTTTCTCGACATAGCAGTAGTTGCCTCACCGACAATTAAAATACATACAATATTACAAGGGTGGTTTTTTTTTCCTTTCAAACTATCAACATCTTCCTCAACAGTCATAACGCGTTTGGAAGCGCTTTCCACATCCGGGTGGACCGTGTCCTTGTGTACTTCGCCAAAAATGATCTGCAATTTCGACCATTGCGGGTCGCCCATTGTTTCGTATGCTAGACTAAAAGGTTCATCCTGCAAAACATTAGTAGTGTGAATTAAACAGTTGGACACCAAGGTAGAAAAAATAATAGTAGTGTGGAATTTGACCACGAAACGTACTGTAAAGACACGCTTCCATGATTCTTTAGGCCCCCACATGAGCCCACTCTCACGGCAGTAGTTAATACCATAGTTTGTAATCATCTCCCGCATCACCCTATGCCTTTCCCTAAATTGCTGAAATCTAATTTCACAATCTAATGAAGTGTATGGCGTCCCGAACTTAGTGGTCAACATATCCGCGCCTAAAGTAAACAATGAGTGCTCGTCTTTTTTATTGCCTTCAAGTAACAATGGCAAAGGGGGTTGTGCTCTTACCAGCAACTGTGCGAACGACTCATCAACCTCAAATGTCTATTTTTTGTTAAACAAATATTGTCTTTGCTCTGGCGGGAGGTGGCACTCCATACCTATTTCATATGTTACAGATTCAATATAGTTATCACACCACAAAAATATACCACAACCATACATATGAGCATCTATCTCAGCGTTCAGCAACGTCATGAATTTTTATTTAATTTCAGTTATCAAACATCAACCAAAATACAAACTACTGACAAACATCACTTCTGTATCTTTATTTTCTTAACTTCAGTCATAACTCAACTAATACAGGCCACAAAATATATTGAACAATAAATCTAAATCACATATACCAACATACATCCTTACAAAACCATGTTCAATTTAATGCTCAAATTATGCCACAACAAGGCCTCAATATAAAGCACTTCAGGCTGCTTCTTTTGCTTTCAATCAAACATCAACCAAAACACCTACTACTGACAAACACACAAGGGTTTGGTATAATATAGAAGATAGTATGAAACGTATCCAAATTGATACACCATCAGCCAAGGCTAGCTCTCATGTATCTTTCTTATCTTAACTTCAGTCAGTACTCAACTAGTACATCCTAACATCCTAACTTCAGTCAGAACTCAACTAATACAAGCCACAAAATATATTGAACAAAAAATCTAAATCACATATACCAGAAGGAAGAATATATCATTTTACCAACTCATGGTCTAGTATGAACTTCACTTTCAAACATGTAAAGGTCCTATTAAGCTACTTCATCAGAATATTAGACAACAGTGTTGCCAATACAGTCTTCAACGCCAAATGACTGATCTTGAAGCAGCAGAGTTGCCATTTACGAAAAAGGATTAGCTGTTCAAATCCAATGTATCTCACCAGTTACCTTATGCTCCATCGACAAATCGAAAAAATTGAAAAGCCTTCAACTTGTATTCATATATCAAGTAAAAACAAAACTCCAGGAAATGAAATGCAAAACCTAATACAGAAACAATATTTAAGTAAAATCTACAAACCCCATATGTCTAGCACAATTTTCAACATAAAACAAGTACAAAAAAACAAGAACCCACTTTAATTACCACACAATAGAAACACAATTCAACAAAAACTGTAAAACCTTCAGAAATCCAACTCGAACACAATTATTTTGACAGGAAAAAGAGAAAAAAAAAATGAAAGGCAGTAGAAAGAAGAGGGAGAATCGCAAGTAGATCTAACGCACCTCAAGGTTACAAAAATGACGAAGGGCGCAGATCAGAGAACGAGATTTGGGTGCGAAGGTGATTTGCAGATTTGGGTGAAGACACATATGAGAGAACACCAGATTGACGAGGGTACAAAAATGACGAAGGGCAAAATTGTATTTGGAAGTGTAATGCATTCAGTTTAATCACGTGTAATAAATAAATGATTGGATTAGAAAAAACTGTGCCAAGGTTAGTAAACTAAGGACATAAGCTGACGTGACAAAAGATTGATAGTTGGTGGGACTATTTTGTCTAATCCCGTCCGCGCTAGTAAACGAGCCCTAAGTTAACTAAACATCTCAACACACATAGGAGATCTTCTCATTATTATTATATTATATTATATAAAAGAAAGAAGAATACTGAGCTGCCTGGCGCCTGCGCCCTTTCAATGGCTGTGATGTGATATGCCATGCCTGCAACTCACTGCCACCTATAAACCCCATCCTCGCGTGACACGCGCCTCTTTCTGACACACCCCCCCACTACCCCTTTTTGTGATTCATCGTCCTTGGCCCCTCACTCATCCATCAGCCCCCCAAAACCCAACCCTCCCGACTCAGAGTCAACTCGGATTTTTTCCCCTTCACTCTCTTCTCTCTTTGCCAATGCTATTGCTAAAAATCAAATCTTTTCTTTTTTTCTTTTATTGAACAGAAAAATGGGAGAATAAAGGGAGAGAAGATTGGTGAATGGCTTCTCTTACACCGGGGACGCTGCAAAAGCTGCTGCAGAATGTGGGCGATAAAGACTTCAAGGTCGCCGGCGAACACCGCTCTGCTCTACTACAGGCACTTCTTTTATAACCATTTTTTTTTTATTTTAATTTTCGGTCATCTGAAATGATTAAAGATGATATTTTGAGAAGGTTATTGGCATTGTGCCCTCGCTTGAAGATGATCCATGGAAAAGCAGAGGATACTTTCTCAGGGTTTCAGATTCACTGCACTCTGCTTATGTCTCGGTACCCAATGAAAACGTAGAACTAATACTCAACGACAAGATTCAACTCGGACAGCTCATCCACGTCGCCAGGCTCGACCCCTCTTCCCCTGTTCCTCTCCTCAGCGGCCTCAGACCAATCCCCAAGAGACGGCCGTGTGCCGGGAACCCGACCGACTTGATCTCGAGCGACTTTTTGACTCCTAAGAAAACAGAGGTGAAGGCGAAATCCCGAGGAAAGTTGAAAAATGTTGTGGCAAATGTAGATGAGGGTGTAAGGAGGCTTTCTTTGGGGAATGGGCAAGCTGTAGGAGCACAAAGCCGGAGGTTGAGTTTCGACTCCTCCCGAAAAGGATGGGACGTGAGCCCTCAGTTGGAAAAAGGCGGTCGAGTAGTTAAAAAGGATAAATCGAGAGATAGATACTCAAACTTGGAATCTGTAGTAAGTCCATCTATCTTTTAACTCTATTTGCAAGAAAAAATTTAGATTCATGGTGGATTCTCTTTGTTCTTTCTAATCCTTGCATTGTGATTTGTAATCATAATTATTTCTTTTTCCAGGTTGTCTCTAGTAAGGTCTTCCCTCACGATTCACAGAGCAAGGATATGATCGTCTCACCAAAGCATGTGCCGAAGCCTAAAGTGAGAATCTCTAAACCTTCTGAGAATGTTAGCTTCCCTAGTGATTATAATAAGGTAACAATTAGTCCCGGTAATTGGTCCGACTCAATCATGTTGTGGGATTCACTTCCTTTTGCTATATGTGACCTTGGAAAGGTAATTTTCATCCACAAATACTCGTTGCAACAACAGTTCTATGCTATTTTTTATCTGCCGATTCTAATTTGCTTACTTGTAAGGATTTTTCAGGAGACAAGAACCTTTAGGAATGCTGCATTTGCATCTGCTGCTCATGCATTAGAAGAAGCATCTATATACGACGGCGTCCTTCAGTGTATGAGGTGCACAATCCTTTTTGTTCGTTGTTTGTGTTTAGAAAATATGTTCATAATCAAAGCATATGTTTGAACAAAGTGGATGGAGGTATAAAATCATTCTTTTCTTGTTTGTGGGTATCAAAAATGCGCAACTCAAGTGCAACATGTGAATCGAATCTAATTAATTGCGATTACGTTTTTTTTCTTCGCTCAAGTTCTCAGTGACAAACAGTCGTTGTCTACAATTGATAATATTGAAGTGTGAAGTGGAACATCTATGTCGTATACTTAACAATTTTTTTTTTTTTTTTTTTT